TCGAAAAGTCCTGCGACACTTTGTTTGAACTATTCTAGAAAAAGACCAAAAATCATTTTGAATGTTTTTATCTCTGATTAGTGGAGAATGTCTCCTGAGGTTTCTGAAAATGGGTATATCATGGCTCCGTGGAAGTTTTCAAAGCTTAAAAATACCTCAAAGATCGAGGTACTCCTCGACCTGTCCCATATTTATGAGTTCCTGTAGGGCAACTCCGCCATAGTCGAGGAAGCTAACACTTACGTTGTCTTGAGGAAGGATATCGCTTGCCATAGCAGAGAGTTCCTTTTGCATCAGCGCTTCCAGGCTGGACTTATTCAACTCGGAAGTAGGCAATGTATAGGTCGGCACCAGACAGGATGACGGCCTTTAACTCGAAGGTTTCATTGAGGCGCAGCCGAAATAACCACCAGTAAGTAGGCAACCTCTCTAGGCTCCACCTAACTGACAACTGCCATGCTTCTCCGCAGTCTCGGTTTTTGGAAAAATTTTTTATGAAGGATGCCCCATGAGTTGAACCCCTCTGACAAGTCATACCGTATGACCGTGACTGGGTTTTTTTTTTTCCTTGTACACACTGCAGAGGAACATTTGTGAGATCTTGTGGTTGGTAGAGAGTGGTGGGGTCCTTGCGTACATCTTGCACATGTTCCTCGCAGGATCTCTCGAACAGAAAAGTAGATTGCACAGCCAAAAGCACATGTGCATGGGAAAAGATTTCAGTAGGTTATTGGTGGGACTTCAAAGCGGTATCTCTGGATACTAGCATAACGGTAAGGACTACAGTCCTCTCTAACCGACCTCACAACATGGATGACGTCAAGCTTGAATTCTTCAAATAATACTCAATTTTTCTCTAGCGCTCGGCATTGCGAAGACCGCATGTTAAGATCAGGCCAACCAAAAATCCGTGAATCGTTGATCTAGAATAGCAGGTTATTCATCAAAGTTAGCAGTCTCTAACTACTACCATTTTTGATCCCTACCTCATCCTTAAGAAGGCGAAAAATTCCGAAAATCGACGTCTACTCAAAAATGAGGTCCACCTCTTCTTCTTATCATAGTTGCCGTAGTTCTAGAAGAATGGAAATGAGAAGCTGTGCAAAAGAAGGGCACTAGTCTAAGTCCTTAGTGGTGATTACCTTGTAGATTGGAGATGTCTTTTAGTGACTGAAAATTTAGTCCGAAAAATTGGTCAAAGTGTCGCAGGACTTTTCGACCAACCTAATATATCATTTAGGTTGATTCGCGGAACGTGTCTTGAATGAACGATGGAGCTTCGTGGTTTCCAGCTTTGTTGCGTTGTACTCTTTCTTACAACAATGGCCTATATTTACGTTGGTAGGCTACATTTACGTTAGTGCGACAAACACACCACCGACACATGTTCGGCCATCCGGTTGAATTTTGTACCCAGGTGGACAGGTACAGAGATATGAACCATTAGTGTTTATGCATGTTCCCATGCATAACTCGGTATCTGAAATGAGTAGATGGTAGCGTTGTGAGAAGGAAATTCGCTTGAAACAACACAGTAACAAATACTAATCATAAACTCGTAGAGAAATAGCTGAGCAAATCACAAAAAGCCTTCTCATAATCCAAGACTGATTCAGCTCAGCGCATGATCGGTCTCTCCCTTTGAACCACCACAGTTATTGCTGTTTGTTTATTTGTTTACATGAACCTCAGAGGAACGCTCTGTCCCAAAGAATAGCGGCTTGAATGCAGTGAACAATTCGGCAGGGAAGGCTTACGGGCGGAAGTGTTGGCCCTGGGCTAGACTAAGCCTCACCTCTCGCTCACAGTGCGGGTGCTTATCCAATGCGCCATCAGGACCGCTTTTCTTTGCCTCTCAGCTTAGAGATAAACTGTAGACTAACTTTGAGGACGGCACTTTCCAAGTGTGAGGTGGAAGCGTCCAGAGCTGCAGTGGCGTGTCACTTTCTCCACCCTGGGAACGGGGCTGTAGGGTAGTGATGCATGAGTATTGTCTCCTTACCCTGCCCGCGCTATGCTTAATGGCGTCGGTATAGACGGGGGCGGGGCCCAAAAAAAAAAACAAAAAAAAAAGTCATTCCGGCCGAGTCACATATGAGCGAAGTTTTCGCAGCCCAGACAGAGGAAGTGGATATGAGTACCAGGGCGGAAGATACCCAAGATCTTCCTCTATAAGCAGGAGCCGGCTGCCGCCATTCACCTTCATGTACACCAAAATATGAAGTCATCTCCAGTCGCAAACCTGACTGGAGAAGACCTTCGGAATCATGTCACCTCCAAACAGCTGCGGAACTTCTTGAATGGAATCACCCATGGATAGCTACCTGGAGACCAGTACTCTTGATCTGCAAGACCTCAAACATCGAGCAGCTCCGGCAACGTCGCTACGGTCCAGGACATCATCTTCACCCCATTCACCAAGGCGCGGGTTGATGGTGTGGACCGGCCGTACCTGGAATGGGAAGACCGATATTTTCTTTGTAGACCCCGACTGAAGGTGAGCGCTGGCGGTTACATCAAGTAACTCGAGAAGGATATCCTCCCTACATGTGGTCGCCCGTACCTTCTTGGAGACCTTGTGCTGCTACAGGTTTGGGTGCCACCACATGGAATCGAAGGGTTCCCCCCCCTGGAAAAAACTCCCGCCTACTTCGAATGGAAGGGCGTTTCGTACCTGATGAAGATGTAATATTGAAATATGTCCCCTGACCTGAACCCACTCAATTACCTAGTTCGGGCGGAGTTCAATAGGGTGGTCTACGGTGGCCCCCCGGTTGCATTCGACCCCACCATCCTCCGCTCCAACTGCGTACCCCATCACTTTTCGGCGCCGACCCCGAATCCTCTCCCCCCCCGATGGCCGCTCCTCCAGAAGGCTGTGGCGGAGTATCATTATAGTATTTAATGTGCTCTTTAATATGGTAGTAAAAATGTCCGATAAAAATTTATAAAGTGTAACTTATAGCGCCTTGAAAGTCATGGAGGCAAAATGACTTTTTTTTTTGCCCCCCCCCCTCGTGTATAGGACTTCCCAGTGAACACTCAGATAGTGGGGTGAAGGGCAAGAGAGTGAGAGGGAGCAGATACTTAGCCCTCTTCGTTATGCTCACCATTAGGCTCGTGACTGGCTCTGTGGCAGTGCGAACGAAGTATGGAGACGGCATTCGGCTGTTACTACCCCCAGCCCCGTTCTCGTTCACTTTTGACCGGAGAAAATGGCTCACTACCGCAGCTGCGGATCCATACACCCCATATATGGCACGGACCAGGATTCGCAGAAGTGACTGTGCTGTAGCTTTTCACCGAAAAAAAGCTCAAGCCTGACATAATAGGACTCTTATAGTCTAGTAAGACAGGCCCTTGGCGAGGTGAGTTCACACTACGAGCAAGTCCGTGGTTTTCGGTAGATGGTTCCAGGTAGCAGATGGCGACAACAGCTAATTCAAAACCGAAATAGTCATGAATGTCTACGATGACGGGGTCTACATGAAGTCCGGTGCTCCAATCGACAGGTTAACACGAGTTAAGAAAACGCCGCGCCCATCGCCGCGCGCGGCGGAGCGGCAAATTACGATTCTCTTGCCCGTCTCCCGAGGTTTTGAAAGGCGATTCATCTTCAGGATCGAATAACAGGACAATCCCCATACCAACGGACCATATATGTCTATGCGATTTTTTAAAGCATCTGCTCATTCTTTTCAATTATCTCTAGACAGCATATGATGCTTTAGCTGTTATATATTGTTAGCTTGTTAGCTGCTTAAGCTGTTATATATGTTACTAGTATTGTTTCAATTGTAAACAAACCGCCTCCGGTCCATAGTTCACACTCGTTGATATCAATGCAGGTCCGTCCATCATCAGCTGAAATTCAAAGTCAATGTTCCGGTTGAGTAGGCCTGTTCAACGGTACATTCCACAAAGGGTGCACGGGCGAAGTTACTTACACTTCATTCCCCGGAGATGGAGGAGGGCGTGGCTGCGTACTTCATTGAATAGGGTGGCCGTTGCCCCTCACTTGAAAGACCCACGAAAAAACGCATCATACGCAACGTTCAGATGAAGTACGCAGCCACGCCCTATCCGTGTGCGCGATATAGGGTGTACCATTGCACCTTTCCGCCCTACACACTGATGTGACCCTGCACGTAACAATGAGGAGGCCACAATAGTAGGACATAATATTTTTCAGATGCTGCTCACCTACTGTATACCCTCGATCGCAAATGCACTGGTATGATCCGGGAATATTGATGCATTTCTGCTCACAGTTAGCTTCTC